ACATCAGACTCGGTTGGCTATTCCGAGCTCGGATTTTACTATGATTTGTAGATTCCATCAAAAGCCAGGCATTGTATTCGGAATATCTTCCAGCGTGTTTCGGCGTCTAAAGGCCGACATATGTGGCAATATCTCAGAAAATAGAAGTCTGGCGGAGAGTGTATTTTCTTAGGAGAATGACTATTGACTTGAGTTGAGACAAGTTAACAGGTAATGTTTGTTTGACAAGAGTTTTCCTACTCAGGGCTATACTCCAATAGATAAAGAAAATGCTAAATACAATAACCAAACAACTAAACAACTAAACAACCAAGCTAGAAATTCCAGACCCCAACCCCCCATATCTACACTAAGCAACGTCGGAAAGAAACGAATTCCCTAATCCGGCGAAGCCGACTCTGGAGCCCACCAAATCTGACGAGCGAGTAAAATCCCGCAACCAGAGTACAAGAAAATGGCGAAGGCATGCATGTAGTACAATAGCGTCAATAGCACAATCGGCGCAAAAGCCAATTAGAGTACGTTACACGCCAAGGAAGATCATCAAGTGATCGCCATGATCGTGTCATAAAAAAGCCAATCTTGCAGTCTAATCTCGGGATTCGAGGGTGGATAGCGTTGCGCGTGTCGCACGGTTAGTGTGCCGTTGAATGGGCCTGGATGGGACAGTGAGGGCACTGAGGTAGTGAATTGGATTGGTTTTGGACCAGGGGAAATGTTTCCGTTAGGCTTTCTTCTGTTCTCCTAAACCCGAGTGCAGGGCCCGATTTGGTATTCTTTGCTGGAACGCGATCTGATTTAGAATTTGGGATTTGGAATTTGGAATTTGGAAAATTGCATCATGTCCGTGTTTAAGCGTGAGGGTTGTTTTAACCATGGGATTGGTATCTGATCTCTATAGAGACATGGTTCGGGTTCGGAGTTGTCCGGCGTGTCGATCTTCGCTGGAAGTGTACAATGTACCTATTGGGTTTAATGTGCTCGGCAAAGTTTAGACCAAAAATGGGGTAGAACAAACTACATGTACTAGAGCGAGTGAATTTGACATTGTATTTCGTAATGCTAATTCACAGAGGAAATCATATCCGCTGGTAAAAATGACAATGAAAGGTTCCCACAAGGCGCAAATTCGTAATCTGTGACAAAGATCCATGACTGATGCGAGCGTGCTGTCCTGATAGCACAATTGAACATATCGGACATAACGAGTGGACTTCTATTTGCAGCGTAGCCGAGAACAGTGGTTCAAACTTCGAGTCTGGAATGGTTCAAATGGTTCGTTACATGCCGCCGCGGCTGAAAAGCTCCCGGCCAATATCGCCGCTGCGGCGAACACTTAGACTCGACGAGCTACTGCGTCGACGGCGGCTACGAGACTCGGCTGGATCAGCTGGACTGAGTCCGCTGGCTCGGGCGTGTAGATTCAGAATATCAGTCAAGCTCACGACACCAACTAGGCGTCCAGAAAGTCGGGTTCCATCTAGCGCTGAAGCAGGAATTGAATGAGTAACTGGCGGCGGAACGGCAACTCCTTGATTAGACTGAGAGCCTGAAGTTGTGGGCGCGAAGGCTAGAGGAGCTGGGTGGTGCGGAGCTGTGTATTGAGGGGACTGTGCTGAGGGGCTCAAAGGCGGAGGAAGAGGAGATGCTGGAGGTGAGATTGCAATATGCGATCCTGCAGCTGGTTGGCTTATGTTAGGGGGAAGAGGGACGTGTGCAGCAGAATGTGATGGAGTTGGTGGTCCTGAGGAGGATGGGGACATTGGATCCGTCACCCAGAGTCTAGTGAAATTAGTATAGATATCCTGACTGTTAATGTTTGGAGTTATATGGCAATTACCGATGTGATTTAGTTGCCACAATCTTTGCGACTGTATGGGCCAGTGTCGACCCTGGATTGACGTGGAAGACAGGGAACGAGTCCTTGCCTTCCATCAGTCCTCGTGTAGACAGGATGACCGAAATGAAGTGGGTGCAGGTATTGTGAAGAAGCGGCAGTGAAGATGACCGGGTCAGAAGCTGTCAATTATTAGTAGACGTATTGCCAGAGGTGGCACATAACATACCTTGACGTCTGCTGTTGAAATGTTGCCAAGGACGTTCATGTGGCTATCGACCACGACAATGGATGATACGCCTTCATTGTTCATGATATGTAAAGCTTCGCAAAGAGGTTTGTCGCCACTGTAGGAATATATGTTAGATTGGTTGCAAGCATATTCATGGTAAACCACTTACTTGATCGAGATCACTTCTTGAGACCCAATCCGCAACTCGCGCAAGGCTTGACTGTAGACCTCTTCGATGACAGGGAAGCTCCGGCCATTCTCCCAAAGGAATTTAACAAGTCGGAACTGGCTGAAGATTCCAACCACCTCTTGGGGGTTAGACTCATTGACCACGACGACTCGGTGAACACCTCCGCCAAAGGTCTCAACGGCCGTCAACACATTTGCCGACGCGGGCAAGTTGATGAGGGGTTCTTTCTCCATGCCAAACTTCTTGACATCCCGCAGCGGAATAGGCACTCCCTCGTGGGCCTTCTTGGCCAGCTCTTCATACGATGCTTGGTGCGCTTCATCGGGTGATGTCAACCCTGCGGCTAGCAGGAGATATGAATTGAGGTCAGCGTAATCGAATGTGCCGACGGCAGAAGTGTCTTCAGGAGTTTCGCGGATCAAAAGAACAGCCGCACCGGAGTCAATCAAGACCTAGGAATCAAGTTAGTGAGAGTCGATTGTGCCGGCATTGATATACTCACGTTTGTAGCATCTTCGATTCCCGTATCAAGCTCCACGAACTTGAGATCATCCGGGCTAACAAGCTCTCCAATTGAGATCTCTCGCCAATCCCGACCAATAAACGCAGGGTCACTCTGCTTGGGTGGCGGGGGATTGTCGATCAGGCTCTGGATGGCGGATTGAGTGAGGGATGGTTGCCGGCGTGCGCGGGGAGACCCAGGGGGTCCGCGCAAGGACTCGCTCAAGCTTTGTCTGTGCTGGTGGTTCGGTGCGGGCATGTGTGAAACGCGGAGGTTTCGTGTGGAGGAGCGGGAATCCGTGCTAGAGCGCGGGGATGGAATGGCCGAGCCATTGTTGTTTAGAGAAGTGTCGGACCCGTCGGTGGGGATTTGGTTGTCCGCCATGGAGGTCAAGTGTCTCCTGTTTGGAGGGGATATCGAAAGGCAGGGATCATCAAAAAGTTGCGAAATGCAAGTCGTTGCTTGACTTATTGAGGTCATCAGGTGATGTTGATCAGATTAAGCGGGGTTGGCTTCACAGCCAATCAGTGTGAATATTTGTCATTCGCACCTGACATCATCCTATTATGTCATCACAAGTTGTTGCCCAGAATGGCTTAGCGCGCTCTCTATTTGTTTGGTCTACTTTGTATAGAAACAAGGTGAAGGCATCGTGGGTATAAGTCCAATTGCAAATTAAATGGGAATATGGTTCAGAAGAAGTCATTCAATGTCATGGAAATATCCCTCCCTCTATCCTTCATAACAGCCTTCCTGACACGCGGATTAGGTCCCTCCACCGGCTCAGACCGCTTCTTTCCCCTATTACGCTCCTTCTTCTCATGATCAAGTCTCTGCATCGCAGGGTCTCTAGTGAAAAACACAACCGACTTAGGCCTGTATAGAGCACGTTGTGCCACCCGCTCCGGATTGTTGTGGTTGGCGGTTGGAAGTTGGAATTCCAGAATCGGGAGATTTGTATCCAATGTCGAGAGCTGCTTTTGTTGCCCATCTGCATCTGGATCCGTTTCAAGATTAGATTTGTACACATCTAACAGGGGCCCTAGATCTGCTAGTGCCTTATCCCGTGGTCGCCAGTCAAGTCTACTAGCCGACCAGCCTTCGATGGGGAGTATATTGTTCGCAGGTTTTCGGTGACCCGAGATCTGTTTTGTAATCTTGTCGCATCCATACGCGATCACAAGCTGGAGCTCCGGTAGTTCTCGAAGAGATCTCAAAGCTGCGACTGTCAATTCGTGCTGATGGTAGATTCTGAGAATTCGGAGATGCTGTAGTGCTGTGGTGAACTGCCACATCTCGACCCAACCACGCACAGATCCATCTTGCAAAGAAGCTTGCTTTTTGGTGATGACTCCTTGGGGAGTTTGGCTCTGGTTTGCTTGGGGCATGCAAATCTCCAGAGCGACCAGGTTCTTGATATTTGGGATACCCGAAAAATCTGCCAGAGAGCAACATGTAGAGGCAAGTGTCAGGACTGCTCTCCACCGGAAGTCTTTGTTGTTAAGCATCCCCATGTAGGCTTTCAGCGGTTCCCTGGGACTTCCAGTGCTTAGACAGTAATAGGGACTGATTTGAGGGAATTCTGTAGGGTACATTATGGCCATGATTTTCCACATGTAAAGTGTCTGCTTGTTGCTATAGGACCGGTTAAATCGGTTCTAACAAGGCTGGTGAAGAAATCAATAACTCACCACCGGGCTAGAGCATCCCAAAGGTATTTTGCTAAATGCCATGGGACGATTTCGAACAGTTCGGCTTTCAGTTGCGATTGGTCCTTTAACAGCGCTTTCATTGCGGCATGTTTAAGGGATCCAGAGCCTTGGCTATTGGTTGTCTCCCATCCATGGGGCAAAAAGGGAAGTTCATGGAGCCAATTCTCACCCCGGGGGAAGTAGCCCTGTGGCTGGTTGTCTTGAAATATGATGGACATCATGGAGGAAACACGATCATGATCGAAGGGGATGGGGCACTCTTTCAGCCTTTTTCAAGGAATTTTGCTCTTTTTTTCCGTAGAAACCACCCATTTGTAGTCGGTGTGGTTTATTTCAGGAGGAGTAACGAAATGTGGAATAGAACGCGTAAATGAAGCCGCCAAAGCGCGGTTGCGATATAGAGACCATACACGTGACCAAACATATTGAAAACACCAATTGCAAGATCTCTTCTATCAATATATTTTCAAGAGGTATTAAGTAACGATCCTATATATTCTATAGTGTATATACAACCAAGACCCCGCTTATCGGCTGTAATGGTGGATGTACCGTAACTAAGCCTCATTTCTTCGCGCATACCGACTCCGAGCCCGCACCTGCGGCCCTTTCCAGAACAAAACATACGGCACGGGGAAAAACACGAAAGAGATACCACCTAGAACAGTCAGCGTCCAAGCAACACCCAGGTTACGGTACATAATTTCCGAGACAATTGCCATAACACCAGAAGCAACAAGCCGCAATACTTGTAAACTTGAGAGAGCGCTAGCAGCATGCAGCTCAAACGAATCAGCAACATATTGATACGATGAAACAAAGATACACAGCACCCCAAATCCCAACATTACCGACGAGGCAAGCGGGCTCCAGTAACTGATGGACTCTTGGGCGGTCCAGCCCATCCAGAACATGGAAATTGGGATAGCTGGCGCACCAAACATGCCCATATACAGACTGATCTCGGGGTCTGGACGGTGCTGGCCTCGGGCGCGACTGCGGATGATCTCGCGGCGGAGAAAATACATTGCTATTGGAACGGCTGGTGCGGAGAGGAGGACTCCGAGTTCGATGCCTAAGAAGGCGACGGCTGTCAAGCCTGTACTCCAATGATATATTTTCCCGTATATAGAGGCGTAGCCGGAGATGAAAGTGTAGAGGATGATGAATTCGACAGAGACGTAAAAGGCGTGGACGCTGATGATTGGCTCTGTCATGAAGAGAAGGATTGGTCGATATAGCGAGTTGCGTAGACGATGTATGAAAGAGACTCGTTTGAAGTCTAGCGGTGCTCGGTACCGGTCATCACCTGTTAGACGGCAGAGCTCTTTGGCTTTCCAGTCTAGCAGGATGGGACTGTATGTTTCGGGGAGGAACAGCACAAGCAGTACCAGGACTATTCCTCCAAAGGTAATGGTAATCCAATCCACCCAGCGCCAGCTTTCCCACTTGAATTGGACAACAAATGCCCCCGGCGTCGGTCCAACCAAAGGTCCTGTGAAGGTAATGATGGAGAACAGTGGGAACATGTAGACTCGTTCGATGCGTGACCAGATGTCCACAAGAGACGCTGCTGCTAAGACAGCTGGGGCAGACCCGAATAGGCCAGCCAAGGCACGGCAGATAATTCGCTGTACCACAGTCTGAGCCAGCCCTGCGCCCATGTTAAACAGCATGAACAGGATCATACTCGGAACGTATGTGGGGTTGCGTCCGAAAACTTCGGAGATTGGTGCTGCTACCAGGGCGCCGAGGCCATTCATAACCAGAAACATAGCTAGTGGACTCAGTTAGCTTAAGAATTTAAGTACTTGTTCATTAACTTACTCGTCGCTAAGACCTGGATTTGGGAATTGGTACGATAGAGCGCCCTAGTTGATACGGTGGCGGTGGTATCAATTGTAGAAGACCAGAAAATCACACATGCAGTCCCCGACGTTATAAGAGTGCATGCTAGTCGACGTTTGAAGGTCCAATTGTGAGGATCCATTGGATCACATTCACCTTCGTAAGTGACGATCATGAGTTTGTTCTTCTTGCTCCACTCAATGTCAGAGCCCTCAAACTCTTGACCGGACTCTCCAACTGAACCACCACCGGAGACATCGGTGGATGCACCAGCACCCGGTCGAACTCTTTCAATTCCAGTCACCATTACATCAGTCGGTGTACTGAGGGTATCTTGCGTGTTGATGGTATGTGGATCGGTTTGGAGCTCCGGATCGAAATCCGCTCGCTCGACGTCTCCATCCCTCTCCAAATGAGCTCGAACCGTATGGCGTGGATAGAGAGTTGGTCCATTTATGATGGCACGATGGCCATGTTCCCTCATTCGTTCAGCAGGTAAATCATCATCCGGCTCGCGAGGGATTGTCTGAATTTCTCCATCTTGGTAAGAGTAACGGCCCTCGAGAGTCCAAACATCTCCGGGCTTTTCGTGTCTGGTGACGAATTGTTTCTGGAGCTGTCGGCGAATATCACGGTGTTGGAAAAACGATTGCATCGTGCTTGAAGGACCGGCGTAATCGACAAATCATTGAAGCGTTGAGTATTGGCATTTAGAGCTGCTTCAAGCTGTTCGAAGGCAAATTTTGGCATATGAGCCCGGAGGATATGAAAGCCGTATAGCGCCATATTAATATCATTCGGTCAGCTCTTCCGCCAATGGAGCCGATTAATACTAGCCCTGTTAGGCATATCTATATTATTCTGGCTCATCCCATGAAGCTGGAAAGCGAGCGATATGCTGTGTTTTGTCCACAAGAAGATCAAAAAACACGCAATTGAGTTATTGGGCGACACCAAGATATGTTACCCATATGTGCTACCGATATGTTCTCACGATAGGCACACCTATATAGTTCCCTACAATGATGTCAGAAAGGCCGATGCTTTTCGTCATCAGTTGATATCCCAAAATAGACAGTAATGACACATGATCTCCTAACGCGCCATGCCCGCGGACGAGACTTCGGGGGTTTATTGAGTGGGTTGAGGGGATGGTTGTGCCTGTTACGATTAATGCTACTGTTCTGTTGGCGGGGGAATGGCAGCTTTGCGCTTGGCCTTTTGATGCCGCTCTGGGAACGGAGTGAGACTATGCAGAGTGTTTTTGAGGAGTCTTATGAGAGTTGGGTTTATGAGCTTGATGCTTTTTCGATGCCTGTTTATTAGATTGAGGGGTTGGGATAGGATGTTTGTTCTGGTTGCTGATTGGGCTTGGGGCTTTTCCTTTTGTCTGTAAGCTACGCATGTTCTGTATAGGTACTCGTCTGCTCATGTATCTATCACCTTGTCATCAGCTTGATGAACATGTTATCTTAAATACGTTGAACCTTTTTATTGAACAATTGACAGAGTTTTCTTGAGAAATTCATAGTGGATTATATTCAATATGTAAAAGCACGGAATAAATGGAGTACAGGCCAGTTTGTGCTCTAGAGCCAACTGCAACCCGAAGCGCCAGCCAACGATATTACAGAAAAAAGATCATTTATTCGGAGAAACAGCTACACCTAGATCACATCACGTAAAGGATGTCGGTATCTGCAAAAGTCAGTCAGAAACATCCATTAATTTCACAGATAGAGAACAATAGCTTACCAAGAGGGTGGCTGCAACTCAGCTGAGGCTTCTGGCTATATTTGGTCGAAAGCTCATCACGAATACTATTGAGCAGCTGAACATAGCTCTGCTGAGGATTCTTGCGAAGAGCAGCAATGAAAGCCCAAGACATAGCACCAGTAGCCTGGCCAGCAATCTGAGCATCCTGACTAGTCTGATCGTCCTTACTACCAGACCACATGATGACATCGGCGGGGGAGGTCTTGGTCTGCTTGTTGCGCTCGTAGACTTCGTCGCCCTTGGTGGCCTTCTTGATGAAGCCCATCGCGGTGGACATCATACTGCCCATATCACCACGCGCGTACGCGGAGACCACGCCGAGCAGGCCTTGGCCGGCTTCCTTGGCCAGGTTGGGCTCCTTGAGGATACCGGAGGTAGAGTAGATGTAGGGCAGGTCCAGGGCAGAGCCGGAGTGGCATGAGTCGAAGATTGCTGTGAGGCGGACTCCTGGTTGAAGAGATCGAACCATGATTCGGTGCATCTCGTCGTCGACGATGTGGCCGGCGGCTCGGAAATCAACTGGGTAGATCACTTCGTCGTATCCATCGTCTTCATCACCGTCCAGATCGGGTGTCTGGCCGCCGTGGCCTGCATATCTGTGTCAGTGCATTTCTAGCAGTGTCAATTTGCAGTTACACTCACCGGAGTAGTGGAAGAAGAGGGAGTCATTGGGCTGGGCATCCTTAACCAGCCAGTGCATAGCCCGCAGGATGTTGGCCTTGGTCGGCTGGCTCATTGGGTTTTGCTGGTCATCGGTCAAAATGACCATGTCCTCACGGGCGTAACCAAAGGTCTGGTTCAGGTAGGTCGACATGTTCTTGACGTCGTTGATACATCCGCGCAGCTGACCCTTCTGACCGAAATAATTGATACCAATCAACAGCGCCTTTCGCTTGCCTCTGCAGGTGGAGTATTGGAATCTGTAATTTTGCGGAGCGCCGTGACCGAAGGAGACGGGGTTGCTAGGAGGGGGTGGGGGACCACCATTTTGTCCGTAGGCTAGATGTTCAGGTTAGCTTGCGCCGTATGATGATATCCGAAAGGATGACGAACCTGGTCTTCCTTGTTGCATTGGTGGCCCCGAGGGCGCGTGCTGACTGTAACCGGACGGCGGACCCTGCTGGAAGTCGGCGTTAATATCATAAATCCAAGCCTGCGTTCTTTGTCCATATACCGTCACATACATTGTATCCATGTTGCGGGGGCGCTCCGTATGGCTGCTGAGGCGGTTGGGGTGAATGGCTGTATCCGTACGGGTTGGACTGTTGCTGCGGCGGCGGCGGTGCCTGGTGGTAAGACTGGCCCGGATAGCCGCCATAAGATGGTTGCTGTTGATGATGCATTGGTCTGCGATTCAATCCAAGTCAGTTTCTCGAAAGATCTGCGCCAGAATCAGATAGGAGATGCCATCGTACGGGTACTGTTGCGGGGGATAAGACTGCTGTGGGGGGTAACCCGGCGCGCCCGAGTAAGGCGGGTAGTAGGACATCACTTCAGTATTTCTCTGTGTCCACACGCCTTGGGGAAGGAGTAGAGTGAGGATTTAAGAAGATTGATAAAAGAGAGAACGCGATGGATGTGGAGTAAGGGAGATCCGAAGCAAAACAGATCGGAAATACGGGTGCCAAGCCTTGAACAGTTCACAGTTCACAGCCAAAAAAGAGCAGTTCACAGAGAGATTAAGAGATTTGAATATATCAAACAGGTCTGGGGACTGTAGTGCCGAGGTAGATTTGCGAGAGATCGTCACACTCGCCACTTACTAGGTTCGCGTGTAAGGGCTTTATAAGGCTTACGATTGGAAAAGACGAAAGATTTCTCTAAGAAAAAAAAGAAAAGGAGAAGGTACTGTAATGGCTTTATATCTGACATGCATCGGCAGCCCCGAGTAATCCCTGTCGAGGCCGCTTATTAGGCCCGTACTTGCAAATTATGTACTTTAAGTCTATATCTCCCGACACAGCTGGTGTCATTAGATCGTCTATGCAAGAGTTAATAGATCGGACTTGGCATTGTAATAGCATATGAATGTATCTCCGTATGAACAAGTTCTATTCCAAATACTGTCTGGCCGTGCGCGGATCGGCTCGGCCCTGAGATGCATTGGATAAATCACCTGCATGTAGATCGGATAGAACTTTCACTATGTACGGAAGACTGTATCAGGTCTGATTATGCCTACAAACTCTCTATTCTCCCTATACTCTGGTAACAGAAATTTATCTCAGACACTCCAAGCCATGACAATTCATCGCTTAGGGTCCTTTTTTGGAAATATCATCGAACATCATCGGGTTATCCTGCATCAATCGGTTTAACCGCGTCGGGGCATACCACGGCCACGGCCGCGGAGGGCCCGCTGGGCAGCACCTGGTGGCATACCGCGCTGCTGACCAGGTTGGGCGGATTCCTCGTTCTCTGTGGGATTGTTAGTTATACAAGAAACAGATAGAACACTCGAGTCACTTACTTATCGTCTCATCCACACTCAGGATCAAGCAAGAAGCTTCCACGGCGGCCTGAATGGCGTTGACCTTGACCAGACTGGGCTCCCAAACAAAGGCGGTCATGTTGTCACGGACACCCTCGTTGTCGAAGTCCACACCAGCCCAGACGTTGCCCTTGCGGTGCTCCACGCGCAGGCGGTTCAGGATGTCTGTAGCGTCGAAGCCGGCGTTGTCACACAGCTGGCGGGGAATAACCTCGAGAGCCTTGGCGAAGGCCTTGACGACGGCCTGCTGTTTGTGGGGGACGTTGCGGTCGGCAAAGCCGTGCATGTAGCTGGACAATTCCATCTCGGTAGCACCACCACCGGCGACAATAGTTGTGTTGCGCAGAGCGCGCTTAACGATCATGATAGCATCGTGCAGACTGCGCTCCACCTCGGCAATGAACTGCTCAGCGCCACCACGCAGGACGAGGGTGCAAGTCTTGGCGAGAGGGCAGTCGGAGAAGAGGTTGAAACGCTCGCCACCAATCTGGCGCTCCTCGAAGGCGCCACAGGTTCCGAGGTGGCGCTCGTGGATGTCACTGCAGGTCGACTGGGTTGCGGCTCCGGTAGCCTGGCAGACACGGTCCATGTCATCGGAAGCAACACGGCCAGCACAGAAGATGTCACGGTCCGCAAAGTACCTGCAATCACGTTAGCTGGAATGATCTAGCCCATACCAGTAGAGTACATACTGTGTAGCAAGATCACCGATGGGCAGCTTGCTGAGCACAACCTTAGCTCCAGTGTTGTGAATAGCCTCAAGCTTGTTGAAAATAATCTGCCACTCGGCATCGACGATAGCCTGGTACTCTGAAACCTGCTCAACACGGACCTCGGCGTTATCCTTCTCGCTCTTCAACTCAAGCTCAACGTTCAGGCACACAATCCCGGGGTTCTTGAAGTGCTTAGGTTGCTGTTCAAAACCGGCGTAGGAGAAGGTCTTCTTGAAAGCGACACCGTCGACGAAAAGGGAATCCTGGAGGCCACCACCGGTAATCTTCTTAACGCCGATCAACTTCTCGTTGAGATCATCCTGGTCGAGAGAGAGCACAGCATCGACAACCACTATAGCACAACTGTTGTTAGCGTTGCAGCTCGTCGGGGGAACTGGACAGGGGGCTCACTCTTTGTGAAAAAGTCCGAATTCCGCTTGATGAGCTTGCTGTTCATGGCCGTCGCGGCTAACCGTCTTAGTGTCTCGACCTTCTTCTCCTGGGTGACCGACGAGTCCATCATATCCACCGCAATCTCCTTAACCTTGTTGACCGCCATGGCGCTTGCCCTCCGCAGACCCTTAATGATGGTCTGCGAGCTGACACCCTGCTCAACGAGATCACGGACCTCCTTGAGAATCTCACCAGCGAGGACCACGACAGAGGTTGTTCCGTCACCGACTTCGGCGTCTTGGGACCGGGCGATATCCGTGAGGATGCGGGCGGCGGGATGCACAATATCCAAAAGCTATCAGATGAATGTCAGAATCATCTTTCATTGTGCCCGGTGTATGGTGTCCGATAATTTCTACGCACCTTCATAACTGTAGCTCCATCGTTCGTGATGGTCTGTCTGCCATTGGCATCGACAAGCAGGAGATCACCACCGTAAGGACCGAGAGTGCTCTTGACTGTTGCCTGCACGGCGACACAAGCATTGATGTTGGAGATGATCTGGCCCTTTCCCTGAGAGGCATCTGTGCCTGTATGTCGAAAAAGCAGTTAGCACTCTGAATCCCACCAAAACTGCCCGCACTGAACAACACATACCCTCCTTCAGCACCACAATCGTGGGGGTTTGGCCGGCGAAGGCCATTATGAAATCGGATATTACCGTTCAACGACAAAAAAAGGAATAAGAAAAGGGGTATGTTGAGTTGGAACGTCGGAGGGGTTGATCTGCCAAAATTTCCCAGAGCTGTTCCCCCAAAATCCCCCCAGTCGCGCAAGGCGGTGACCAATCAGGGCTCCTCAACCCTACGCATCAAAGGTATACTAGTACACAAACTACTCGAAAAAAATATAGTGTGTAAATGAATTTATAATATGCCATTTGAGAAGAAATAGGATGCCTAGCGTTTAGCATAAAGCATTCACTGCCCACGGTCAGCTGGTGGAGTATCGGTATCCCAGACCAGGTCTTGACGCCAAAGGAAATACCGAAATACCGAAATAAAAAGATAATAAGATACAAAAGTCTTCCCAAAAGTAATAGTAGGTTGTTCACGTAAAGTCGTAATTCCCGTCTGATGGACTTCCATACTCGTACTTGGCGAGTAAGTCGGCATCATGTTGCATGTCGTGTGCGGAAGGGTTCACCAGCCCAAGCACATCTTGCCGGAAAGGATCTGAGCCGTCGTCTACCATCATTTGATAGGCATTGCTAGCCGTATGATAGCGCATTGCATCGTCAAAGTTCATGTTCATATTATGCGGCCCGGGGGCAAAAGAGCCCATGGGGTGTTGTTGTTGGTAACGTCGTAATTGGTTTAGTTGCATCATTTGAGGGTCCACTGGCATGGGAGCGAATCCAGTCATGGGATGTACTGTGCCATGCACAGCTGTCGAAACGGGTTGGTGCATGAAAGGATTGTGGGTTGGAGTTTCCTCGGGTGCTTCCTCCATCGGCTGGTCCATTGGCTGGTCTATCGGCGGCGGGACTTTATGAGTCGGACGCGGTTCCATTGGGCTGGCCTCGATGCTGGACATATTCTCCGACACAGTCTCCGAGGGTGGTGAATCTTCTTCTTTGGTTCCAGGAAGAGGTGGTGCCTTCACAGTTTCTTTGCATTGTGGGCAATCACGAATCACGCGATTGACAGTCTCTTTGATTCGTACCCAATGGTACTTGACTGCAATAGCTGCCGTGGTTTTATTGATCCCAGCATGCTGCTTGAGATGAACCTCTTGAGAGATCTCGTACTGCTGCTGCGGGTCTGATACCACCTCTTTGTCCTTCAGCATCAGTCTCTCGGGCTCGCCGTCCTCGCCGCCAAGGAGCTTGTAATGTGTCGCTGCACTGCGAAGTCGACTCTTCTCAGCTCGATCAGCACCACGGGGGTATTTGTCATGCTTTAAGTAATAGCGGATCTTCTCGAATCGATCTTGAGACACGGAATCCTCGCCATCCAGACTCAATCCTCTACCGTAGATGATTGCATCAACAAACTCTCCGGGATGTGATTTAAGCCTGCCTCCACCAGGGACCCGTCCAATTCGTTTGAAGCCAAGGGAATCCCATAAGCGACATGATGCAACGTTGGACTCATAGACCAAGTTGAAGACAGCATACGTATAGCCCTGCAGGGGTTAGAAAGTTGGATCACAGCGTCGGCGTCGGTACTTACCAAACGGGGCGCCCATTCCAGATACGCTTCACCCATCAGCCTACCTACACCTTTGTTTCGAGCAGCGTCTGTGACAATAAAAGTTCCGTTGCAGACATGACTACTACGACCAGGGTAGTTAGGCCGAATGTGAAACCCACCAAGACAAAGCTTAGTCCAATTTGCTCCGGCGCGGTCCATGGTATGTGTCTGCTCGGCGCTCTCAATATCACCCAGAAGCATGACAACACCGAAGTTGGAGAACCAATACCGCCCAAATTGGACCAGTGGAATGGGCTCGGTCATGGCATATGTATCTCCCTTTTCAATTTCTTTGTTGAATTGATCTGAGAGATACTGCAACAGGGACCGGGGTATTTCCTCTGCTGAGGCGAAAGGTACCAGCGTGGCAATTGTAACCCGATCTCGTAGAGTGACCTGCCGCGGAGCCAGTGCAAGCGGATAGTCAAGCCCAGGGCCCGATGAAACGAGCTCTGAATCCCCATGTACCTCAGACATGATGCCCGAATTTCCCGATTTCACTGCGTGTCATGTTAGTGCATGTCCAGTGATGAATCTCCCTGTGAAAGATGGGAAATATGAGAAGAATAAAAAGACTACAAAGAACAAGGGAAAGAGACTTGACAGGGGGGTCTGTTCACTGACATTCTGCCCTGGCTTCTAGAAGGGTGTCTCGATCGCACTTCGAGGACCGCGTGAGTATTCTCGAGTCCGGAATGGCCGCACGCAAGTCGTGGTCCCCGCTGACTCAGTGCTGACTCACCCACTCAGGTAACTTAGGATTTTGCTGCCTGATATCTCAGGCCGAAATTCATATCTAACGTTATATGTTTCCTTTTTTCGGTGAGTAGTGCAATGGTGGATCTAATTCGACACCGACATTTGGTCAATCTGAGAGATCATCTTGCACTAGGGGAAGCTGGGAAGATGCCTAAGGCTCGTCTCGCCGGAGTGAGATCCCCCCGCCAAAAGCGTTGGAAGTCCTCGATCCTGCAGAGTGAATCTGACTTAGTTCAAAGCACGCCATAGTCCAGCAATCCAACATCAGACAGCTCATCTATATAATCCTGCAACATGATGCAACGCCCCCAGTTCTTCCCAAACACCTTGACCCCACCAACAATCAATACGGCCACTCTTGCCGCGAGTCTTGAGGAACTTCGTATTGCTGTTCGCAATGGAGCTGAACAAGTAAAAGAGAACACTCCCCTCCCTGAATCCTGGGGTTCTCATGGCATATTTAGGTCTTTCCCTGGTATTTAATCGCCCATTATCTCTACCTTTGTAACCCATTTGACCGGTCATGCAGGTATTGCCCTTGCCTTTCTGCGCTTGGACTATCAATCATCTATGTTAGAAGGCACCAAAGAGACCTCTACAGATTACCGTCAGCTTGGTCTGCAACGAATTCCGTCAGGTTTGCCAGAGGCACCTCTGCTGCCATCCCGCTTGTCACCAACTGGCTCTTCTTCGCCATTGACTGCCATTACTCTACGTATTCTGGCTGCACTTGCAAAGGAGGACTGGAAAAATGGAAATGCCAATATCGCGGTGGAAGACATTTCTTGTCTTCTCGATGCTGTGCAGATGGCACTGAAGAACGAACCTCTTGTTGCCCATGATGGCCGCAGAATAGGTGGAGATGAGATGATTTTTGGTCGAGCAGGACTTCTTTGGACCTTACTAAATGTCCGAACCCATACTTTCGATGAACAAACTCAGAAAGCCCTCACTCCTGTTCTGGGGAAAATCCCTGAATTAATTCGTGTGGTTATCGATGCGGGGCGACAGGGGTCGAAGAGTTACATTGAAATGAACGGGGATCAAGAGGCACATCCATTGATGTACGCATGGATGGAAGACCACTATTGTTTTGGGGCGTGAGTGATTCCCATTCTTCACAAACAGATCTATAACTCACTGACGATATCAAATAGGGTCCATGGAATCAGTAAGTATGCCATTGATCCTTCTAAATCTGTAATATTAACCATAATCTGTTTCAGCTGGCATTCTGGCCATCATCCTCTCGGCTAAACCCGATGAATTGGCTGAACATCTTCCCGTGATTGGTGATAGCATCACTGCACTTTGCAAGCTGTCCATTTCCAGTAATGGCCACCTCCCAATGGCATTGCCTCCTTTCAGCTACGGACAACGCTCCGAGCTAGTTCAATTGTGTCACGGTACCCCGGGCCTATTGATCCTTCTAGCTGCTGCTTTGAAAAACACCGCCTTGACCCGTGCCCACTGGGATCCATCCTGGGACCAGGCCATCTACTTGGGCACTGAGCGTGTCTGGGAAGAAGGATTGCTTTCCAAGGGAGGTAGTCTTTGCCACGGCATTTCAGGAAATGCCTGGCCATGGCTTCTCTTGCATCATTCTTTCGAGTATTTGTCAAAGAATATGGACGATGGCCGAGAGGCATACCTCCAGCGCGCCCAGGTACCAACGCTACCAAATCCAGACGTGTCCCAGAAGCTTACAGGCGACTTCTTCCTCTCGCGTGCACTTGCATTTATGTTGCATGCACGTGAGACCCGACCATATAATACCTCTTCCACATCTTCCGACAAGGACTACCGCATGCCGGATGAGCCTTATGCGTTGTTTGAGGGTCTTGCCGGCAATGTTTGTGCGTGGGCCGATACCTGCGCGGTGCTCCAAGCCAAATTGCGTAAAATGGAACTGGTTGAACAGGGTATCTGCGCTACATCCGGCGTTTCAAAGGACGAAGCATTTCAAGAAGCTCTACGCAAGCAGGTGGGCTTCCCAGCTCTTGGTGGAAATGGGGCCACTGGTCTCTACTGAATGGCCCCCAACTATGAAATGACGTCATATCAATCAATTCTTTCGGTTGCAGATGGAATACTTAGATCTTGGAAATGAATATACATGATCTCTATTGACTATAGTCTATTCGACTTTTGCTGTAAGCAGTCCGAGTAGTTGTAAGTTGGAGAGCCACGTGAGGTTGCCCTGTGCACGGACCCTCTATACATCGCCGTCAACTACGTGGCTCTGTCGGGCACAAGGCCAAGAGCTCCAGGGCTGATTTGATTCATCTCTTTTAAGCTTCATTTCTTACATGCTACAGACATGACAGATATGCTTCCAGCAACAATCCCAAGATCATAGTGAAGCAACGGAGATGGATCTCATTCCTCCGTCATATGAGTCCGCCACGGACAGAGATGCTTGGGCAATCATTGCTCATTATATCCCATCCAGCGACTTGTGCGCGGCATCTCTAGTCTGCCATCGATGGCATAATCTGTTTATGCCTTTTCTCTGGGGCGATCCAGCATCCCACTTTGGTACAGACAATGACGCAGTCTACGGTATGTCAATCCAAAAATATATATAGTAGAACCATAATAATCCGATTCAATACTAGTGGCTCTGACTCGTTTCAGAAGAACCCTCAAATATGCCAGACAAGAAGTAAGAGCGATGACCCATACGCTTCATCTTCCACCAGCTCTGTCAGAAATATACGGTGGCCCCCGACCGGGTTGGTTGAGGGACATCCTCGAACACCTGCCATGCCTCCAATGCTTGATGGTTTCAAAGCTGCCATTTTTTGATCATCATGCAATGACCGCATTGAAAAACAATCAGAGATCCAACCATTACAATATACGTCTGTTGTTGGCCGAGCGTGAACCAAACACAACTTCTACAAGCCTTGCCGAGACTCTTCTCTTGTTCCCCACATTGGTCTACCTTGACCTCTCATATACCACACCTGCGCGAGATCGTGGCGTTCTATGCTCGCTCTCCCAACTTGAGTATCTTCAAGTGTTGAAATTACGCGGCATCGGTTTAAAGGACAATGACGCCGAATTCCTAGCCAATGCAATTGGACAACGGGTCCGTTGTCTGGACCTGAGGGACAATATGCTCACTGATATGGCGGTCCGCTCTTTGATGGAGGCCTCTTTCCTCCCTCCGAATAGCAGGGCCCAGCCAAGACCAAGACGCACTGGGACTTCACCAGATCCTGTCTCGCAGTCTATACTCTACGGGTCTGGCTCGGACCTTTTCAAACGCCCCGATCTAGATGAGCAGTTCATGAAAATTCTCGCCCAACCAGTCTCATATCACCCGTGGGTTGAGGATTTACCACATACGGGAATCACTCATCTGTACATCACAGGGAATCAGATTTCGGTAGAAGGTGTGGCAAGCCTTTTAGCCTCTTCTCGACTGCACGCTCTCGATTTTGGTACCCTCAAGACTCCAGATGTGGCACACAAGCCCCTAAAATTTGGAGAGAAGTACCCGGGAGCTGAAAAGCTAGTGCCACTATTAGGAAAAGTCGCAGGAGACAATTTGGTCTATTTTCGAGCACACCACGCAGTTCTCACTGCAGAACCACCATCCAAAGATGCTGCACCGACGGCCCAGTTTTTACCGGAGCTTCCAGCACAGGAAAGTCCTATTGAAGCTGACGACCCTGCTGAATTGGACGCATCTCGAGAGGTTCATGAGCTACCTGAAGAGACACGACCTGTTTTTGAACTGGCTGATACGTCGATTGACGAGCCAATGAGCCCGGCCCCAACTTTGCCTAAGATTCAAGAGCCGACGACGCATGAGGATGAGCCACCGTCAGCCAGACGTGGATCGGCTTTTGCGCCGGAAGTCGTGCATCCCATCCCAATACGCAATACAAATGGTAGTATCGTGCTAGGCCCCTCTGAGGCAGGGATATCTTTCCCCGAGAGGACTGGGGGAAACACGTCGCCATCTATCTCAATGTCAGAATTCGCAATGGCCACCAGTTCCTCTCTCCGGACATTGCAATGCAGCTCCACGATATCAACAGATGATCCGAGAGCAAAAAGAATCCAAGAATTGCTGGCCAAGAGACCACGAAACAAATCAATCCCACTCCAAGGAGGGAAAGAAAGCCGGTTTCCCTACCTCCACCCATCGCATATTCCCCATATGGAAACTCTGGTTTTGACAGATGTACCGTCTCACGTGGCACCCAACTCATCAATCATCACAGCTCTCATACGGTTTATCACTGCCTGCTCCAATGAATCCTTGCTGGCAACCCTACAAGCAGGATCAGACTACTCTCTTCCACCGGGACAAGCACGCATGCGAGCCGAACAACAACGATCACGATCTCTCTTTGGTTTACGGCGATTAGTCCTCGAAATCACACCCGTCGATACAAAGTTGACTTCATGGAAACCCGGAAACCAATACAATGGCACTGGACATTCTAGCACCGGTGACCGTGATTCAGAGAACCTCTGGTCTGCTGCAGTTGATGATTTTAGTTTCTTTGGGGAAGAAGAGTGCGGAATTCCCGAGAATGATCCGGGTAAATACTTCCCAATGGCTGTGCTAAACGAAAAGGTCTCGCTTATGCCGGATGATGACTCGGCTCGTTCGCCTGATTCTCCGCGTCTTAGGCGTCATCCGTCACAAAGTAGCATAAACACCCCGAGGCCATCAGGGAAACCTGAAAAGAGTAAACAGCAGCAGATACAAACTCTTGATCTTGTTGCGGAGCTTGCGGCGTTCCGTCGTACCAAAAAGGCAGAGTATGAGCATGTGGTTCGCCTTGAGAGAGGACGGCGGAGCACGTTTGGCACCAGCACTTCCAGTCTTTCTCCATCAACACCGCAGATCTCTCTGACGAACTTTGTCGAAGGCCATTGGAAAGGGGAGGTAAAGGTTGTGCGGAACCCAAAACCCAACATGCGGACCGGAATGGTCGACATGTATGGGAACCATTTCGAGAAGGGATACTTGTACCCATGAACTTTGTACTTAAGAGATACCCAGCACCAGAACTACCATGCATCTACGTCATTGAACATGAGTTGTAGGAATTTTTGATGTTTTCTTAGTCCTATTCAGACTATGAACCTTCCTTCCTCCCAGTCATAACAAGCCGTCATCAAAGGGCTCATGCATACCGAATAAACAAAGAAGACACTTCAACTGTCTTCACTAAACGGTTGAACCATCTCTTTCGTGCTTTTTTGCATTGCCAACGTAGGAGCATGGCCGGCAGTTGTGGGGACCGAGCATTCACCCCCTGCAATCCGGTCGACAAGAAGAGTGAAGACAAAATAAAAGAATTCATTTCAAACTAGTTTCATTTTATTTTGTTCGTTGAACGAAATTGAACCTCCTTACAGAGCCTTAGCGGCAGAGGGGGGCTGGAGCTTCTTGCCGTCCTTGTTGTAGCGGATACGGGGAGGGGGAGCACGGTTGCGGCGGCCGTCACGGGAGCGGACACTAAGAGAGATTAGTATATAGTTGGGGAAAGTGGCGAGGGTTGTGTTGCACGAACCGGACGATCTTGCCGTGGATGGCGCAAGAAACGCAGTACTGGAGCTTCAGGTACATCTTGGGGACGGAGTACTCGGCGAAGACGGAGGCATCGGAGATATCCCGGATGGCGGCAGACTCGACCATGTTGCGGATGGTGAACCGCTTGATGGCCTTTATGATGTTGTTAGTATGGATGTTGAGATCGAGGTATCGAGGATCGAGGGTCGAGAGGTGATGATAGATTCAGGGATCAGGAAGACCACCACAATGCGTGCGTACCTTGTCCTTGGGGGTGCAGCGGGCGCAGTTGGAGCAGCGCACAGGCTTGACGTGGCCGCGGCCATTCTTGTTGCGACCGCTAAGAAATCAATTAGTTCTCTTGCCCCTATAGTTGCAAATCGGTCGAATCCAGTCTCCCATTCTTGTCTTCCGGCAATGTGCGGTAGTCGCGGTTTCGATGTTCGAATTGTATGTGCGTGTTCGTCATTGCGGAGATGTTGAATGGGATACTTCTTCGCCGAGGAGGGTTGTTGGTCTTACTTGTTCGCCCTCTTCTTGACCATTTTGACGGTTTGTTCTGTGGACGGTCAGGTAATGATCTTTGGGTGAAGGGGGTAGGTAGCGTACGGTTGACTTGTCGGGAGTGGGTTGTCGAAGCTCGCTCACACACAAGTCTCGTTCGGGATGGATTGGATTGCGTTGTGCGGGTAGCCCTAAGCCCTTAAGCGAGATGGATCACGTGCTTAACAGCCTTGGTGGTCAGGTGTCGAGATCAGGCCCTCATTTTGGCCATCACGTGGGGCATGACCAACATGTCTCAATCTAGCCTGGTTGGGACTAGTGCCCCCGAATAGTACCGCAGGTCATTCACTACTGTTTACTCCCGTGGGCATCGGACACCCCTGTCGGGATCGACTATTGACTGCCCTTTTTTCTTCCGCCTGTTCCCTGGTATTCTCCTTGCTTTTCTTCTCATACCTGGTCTCACAAATCTGACATCCTTGTCTTGTTTGTCTCGCCCTATTCCCCCTTCCCTCAATTTTTGGTTGCGAGTTTCCCCTTTGGGCATTATAATGTCAGCCACGGGCACTTTTCGGGGAACACCCAATAAGACGATCGGCAGAGGAAGGCTGCCCGACTTTGGAGGAGATTCCAGTGCTTCCCACATCCCTCGACCCCGTCCAGAATCTTCAGCTACCACCCATACCCCGTCCAGCGACGTTGGAAGTGGCACCATGAGCGCCGCCAGTAGCAGACAACGACAGAACCAGTCGAAGCGTGATGAGGTACGTCATACCGGAGCTGCTCAAGTGTTTTATCAGAGCAATAGGCTGACTTTCCCAGGCTATCCGCCGCAAGATGGAAGCCGACCTCAACAAGAAGAGGAACGCCCCGACGAAATCAAGAGGTTCCCGCAAAGCCCCTCCCGGTACCGTGCTCGCCCTGAAGCCCAGCCAGGCCCTCCAGATCAAGCCTTCCCTCAGCATCGCAGAGGCCGCTCAGCTGATGGCTGCTAAGAGAGAGGACTGTGTTTTGGTTACCGACGACAATGAGCGCATTGCTGGTATCTTCACTGCCAAGGATCTGGCTTTCCGTGTTATTGGAATGGGCCTCAAGGCTCGCGAGGTTTCTGTCGCGGAGATCATGACCAAGAACCCCCTGTGCGCGCGAACGGATACCAGTGCTACCGATGCGCTCGATCTCATGGTGCGAAAGGGTTTCAGACATTTGCCGGTCATGGACGAGAATCAGGATATCTCTGGTGTTTTGGATATTACAAAGTGCTTCTATGATGCCATGGAGAAGCTCGAGCGCGCCTACAGCTCGTCTCGCAAGCTGTACGACGCGTTGGAGGGTGTGCAAACAGAGCTCGGCTCCAGCCAGCCCCAGCAGGTCATCCAATATGTTGAGGCACTGCGCTCAAAGATGTCCGGCCCAACCCTTGAGACAGTTTTGGATGGCATGCCGCCAGTCACTGTTTCCGTTCGAACCACCGTTAAGGATGCTGCGGCTCTCATGAAGGAGCATCACACCACTGCCCTGCTCGTCCAGGACCAGGGATCTATTACCGGTATCTTTACCAGCAAGGACATTGTTCTCCGTGTCATTGCCCCCGGCCTTGACCCTGCTACCTGCAGTGTCGTCCGTGTTATGACTCCTCACCCCGACTTTGCCCCGTCGGATATGAGCATTCAAGCCGCTCTTCGCAAGATGCATGGTCAGTTATTTCACCCCATGTATTTGGATCATTGACATTGACTTTGCAATAGATGGCCACTACCTGAACCTCCCCGTGATGAACGAGGGTGGCGAGATCGTTGGAATGGTCGACGTGCTGAAGCTCACATACGCCACTCTTGAGCAGGTATGTTCTACAGTGACATTGGAGGGGATAACTTACTAACCGAGTGTAGATCAACACCATGTCAACTCAGGACGATGAGGGTCCCGCTTGGAACAAGTTTTGGTTGTCGATGGACCACGAGTCTGACTCTATGGTCTCTGGAAGTCAGAGCCACCAGCCGCATACCCCACACCGCTCAGTCATGAGCCCCGATCTCAACCGTTCAGGCTACGACAACAGCCTTCTCCCTAATGATTCTGCCTCGCATCACGGCGATGAGCACTCCGAAGTCGTCTCTCAGCACAACCCAGCGGACCATGCTACTCCCTTCCCCTTCAAGTTCAAGGCCCCCAGCGGCCGAGTGCACCGTGTCAATGTGCTCACCACCGACGGTGTCACCGCTCTTGTATCGCAGGTCACAGCAAAGCTTGGCAAGGAACTCGAGGCTGTTGGTGGCGAGGCCACCGTTGAGGAAGGCACCCTGAGCAATACTGGATATGCCCTTAGCTACATGGACAACGAGGGTGATACCGTCTCCATCACAACGGACCAGGATATGACAGATGCTATTGATCTGGCCCGCCGTACCCACCGCGACAAGGTCGACCTGTTCGTTCACGACCCTTCTCAGCCACCCATCCCTGCTACCGTTGAGCCTCAACCGGCTCCGGCTCCGGCTCCAGTTATGACTCCTGTTCAGGAGCAGAGCGTTGTCGATCAAGTCTCGGAAGAATCCCCTGCGCCCAAGCCCCGCTCGCAGTCCTTGCCCTCCCACTCCCCAGAGAAGGAATTGATCGCAGGTGTCCCCAATGACTTGCTACTTCCCGGTGCTATTGTTACATTGGCTGCAGTCATTGCCGGTGTGTTTATTCTCAGCCGCCCCAGCGGCCGGTAAATAACCTGGCATATTGTCCCTCTAAAACTCCCCTTCAATACTTCACTCTTTCTCCAGATTTGCCTCATCCCGGGATTTCATGAACTTTGAAGTAGATCAGAGTCATGAGTCATAGCTTCTCGACTCTCGATTGTTGCATACCCGTTTGTTTCTAATATTGATATTCTGTGTGGCCTTTAGATACCGCTGTTCGTGTTATGACCACTTGCGGCCTTCGTTTAGCCTTCAATGCAAATAATTTGTTCGAAAAGACGTCAAATAAATGATCTCGTAATTTTACCTTTCGTCCATCTACGAAAACACACCGTTAACCCAGTATCATATCCAATATCAGAACTTCCCCGGCTCTTTGTATGAAATATAGTGGCCTGATTGCCTGAAATTTACCGCATTGGACTTAGCGCCCGACAATGAACATCGTCACTATGGTTTTTTTTTTAATTTTTGAGATGAAAGTAGGTAGATGTAGTTTTCCTTGTAGAACAGTCCGAGGCTTAACGGACTTTGACCGTCTTTGTACCTTTCTCGTTGTGTCATGCTTCGCTGGGCACCATTCTCTACACTCCCCAAGGGCCATCAATCGCTCTCCTAATCAGAAATTCTGCTTTTTCACCTTCCTCCCCGCCCCACCAAAAACAAAACTCCTCCCCTTCTTAACACCCCTCCACCCCCACCAATCTACATCTAAGAGGGTTGAAAGAACTGGGTTGCTTGGATTGTCTGGAACTTGGGAACAGACACGCCCAACATGTCCTTGCTTCCCGCCGAAGTCCACACCGCGCTTTCGCAGCTGCTCCGCGCCTTGAGCACCCCCGATAATACCGTCAGATCCCAGGCGGAGGACCAACTCAACAATGACTGGGTGCAGAACCGGCCAGATGTCCTGCTCATGGGCCTGGCAGAGCAACTGGGAGGTGCTGAAGAGACACTAGTAAGTTGGACGACCTGACTCCAGGGGTGTGGTTTTTTTGAAGGGATGGCCGTTGTAAACGACCTGGATCCCGAATGGAGGCCATCTCTATACCTATCTGAGTGATTACTCGACGCTAACCTGAAATTCTCCGGATAGACGCGTGCTTTCTCCGCTGTGCTTTTCCGCAGAATCGCCACAAAGGCTCGCAAGGATCCCGTATCGGGCGACACCAAGGAGGTTTTCTCTAGCCTGCCCAATGAGCAGCGTGTTGCTATCCGCGAGAAGCTCGTTGCTTGTTTGACGAGCGAGACCGTCACCGATGTGCGCAAGAAGGTTGGAGATGCCCTGGCCGAGGTGGCTCGGCAATACACCGACAATGGTATGCGAAAATGGACCCTTTCCGTGACTATGACCATGATGGACGTTGGTTTCTGACGGTTCAACTTTGATTAATAGGTGAGCAATGGCCTGAACTTCTCGCCGTGCTCTTCCAGGCCAGCCAGAACCCCGACTCCGGCCTGCGGGAAACTGCATACCGCATCTTCACTACCACCCCCGGTATCATTGAGAGACAGCACGAAGAAGCAGTCGTGGAGGTATTCACCAAGGGATTTAAGGATGATAACATCTCCGTATGTCATTTCACATGTATACTTTCGAACTACAAGTTTGACGATGTTCCCAGGTCCGCATTGCCGCCATGGAAGCCTTTGCTTCATTGTTCCGCTCGATCTCCAAAAAGTCCCAGCCGAAGTTCTTTGGCCTCGTGCCCGACCTTCTCAACATCTTGCCTCCTCTCAAGGAAGCCTCTGAGAGCGAGGAGCTTTCTTCGGCCTTGCTCGCACTGATTGAGTTGGCGGAAATCAGCCCCAAGATGTTCAAGTCCATGTTCAACAACCTCGTCAAGTTTAGCATCAGCGTTGTCGCCGACAAAGAGCTCAGTGACCAGGTTCGCCAGAACGCACTGGAGCTCATGGCTACCTTTGCCGATTACGCTCCCAACATGTGTAAGAAGGAGACCGAGTTCGCACAGGAAATGGTCACACAGTGTCTGAGCTTGATGACCGATGTTGGTGCGGATGATGACGATGCTGAGGAGTGGAACGCCTCTGAGGATGTAAGAGTGCCAGCCATTTTGTCTTTACATTGCAAGCTAACTGTTCCAGCTTGAACCCGAGGAAAGCGACCTTAACCACATTGCTGGTGAGCAGTGCATGGATCGCCTGGCCAACAAGCTCGGTGGACAAGCCATTCTTCAGCCCGCCTTCTCCTGGATTCCCCGCATGATGTCTTCAACTGCCTGGCGCGACCGCCACGCCGCTTTGATGGCCATCTCTGCCATCTCAGAAGGCTGCCGTGATCTGATGGTCGGTGAACTGGATCAGGTTCTGGCCCTTGTTGTTCCCGCTCTTCAGGATGCCCACCCCCGAGTTCGATATGCCGGATGCAACGCTCTCGGTCAGATGAGTACCGACTTTGCTGGTACTATGCAGGAGAAGTACCACGAGATTGTTCTGACCAACATCATCCCCGTTCTCGCTTCTTCCGAGCCCCGTGTGCAGTCCCACGCTGCTGCCGCTCTGGTCAACTTCTGCGAGGAGGCCGAGCGTAGTACCCTGGAGCCCTACCTCGGCAACCTTCTCAGCCACCTCCTCGAGCTCCTGCGCAGCCCCAAGCGTTACCTTCAAGAGCAGGCCCTGTCAACCATTGCCACCATTGCCGATTCCGCCGAGAACGCTTTCGACCAGTACTACACTACCCTGATGCCGTTGCTGCTTAACGTCCTCAAGGAGGAGCAAGGCAAGGAATACCGCCTTTTGCGTGCCAAGGCCATGGAGTGTGCTACTCTGATCGCCCTGGCTGTTGGCAAGGAGAAGATGGGCCAGGATGCCCTGAACCTTGTGCAGATTCTGGGTAACATTCAGCAGAACATCGTGGATGCTGATGACCCTCAATCCCAATACCTTCTCCACTGCTGGGGCCGCATGTGCCGTGTCCTCGGCCGTGACTTTGTCCCCTACTTGCCCGGTGTTATGCCTCCTCTCCTGACTGTTGCTGCCGCCAAGGCCGATATTCAGCTCCTCGATGACGAGGACCAGATCGAGCAGGTTGAGCAGGACGACGGCTGGGAATTGGTCCCTCTTAAGGGCAAGATTATTGGAATCAAGACCAGTGCTCTCGAGGACAAGAACACCGCCATTGAATTGATCACCATCTACGCTCAAATTCTCGAGGAGAACTTCGAGCCCTATGTTATGGAGACTATGGAGAAGATCGCCGTTCCCGGTCTTGCTTTCTTCTTCCACGACCCTGTTCGTGTTTCGGCCGCCAAGCTCATTCCTCAGCTGCTCAATTCCTACAAGAAGGCACACGGTCAACAGTCACCAGGCTTCGGTGAGATGTGGAACAAGGTTGCAGAGAAGATCATCGAGGTCTTGAGCGCCGAGCCCACTGTCGACACTTTGGCCGAGATGTACCAGTGCTTCTATGAATCCGTGGAAGTTGTTGGCAGAAACTGCCTCAACGCCCAGCACATGCAGGCCTTTATCGACTCCGCCAAGTCAACTCTGGAGGATTACCAGATGCGCGTCAAGCAACGGTTGGAGGAGCAGGCCGAGCTTGAAGAAGGTGACGAGGAGAACCTCGACTACGAATACGCAATCGAGGATGACCAGAACTTGCTCAGCGATATGAACAAGGCCTTCCACACCATTTTCAAGAACCAGGGCACTTCTTTCCTACCGACCTGGCAACAGCTCATCCAGTTCTACGATGCTTTCATCACAAGCCCGGACCCCACACAACGCCAATGGGCTCTTTGCATCATGGATGATGTCCTAGAGTTCTGCGGCGAAGAGTCGTGGGCCTTCAAGGACCACATCATGCAGCCCCTGGCCTCTGGTCTGCAGGATGAGAATGCCGCCAACCGTCAAGCCGCCGCTTACGGAGTCGGTGTTGCTGCCCAGAAGGGTGGTGCCGCCTGGAGCGACTTTGTTGCTGCCAGTCTCCCCAGCCTGTTCCAGGTGACGCAGCACGCCCAATCCCGCACAGAGGAAAATGTCTTCGCCACCGAGAACGCTTCCGCCAGTATCGCCAAGATCCTCCACTACAACGCCTCCAAGGTTGCGGCTCCTCAAGACGTTGTCACCAACTGGATTGAGACCCTTCCCATCACCTTCGATGAGGAAGCTGCTCCTTACGCCTACTCTTTCATCGCACAGTTGATTGACCAGTATGTATCACCCTCCCATTTTTAAGAATTCCTAGCTAACATAATAACAGGCAAAACCCCGCTGTCTTCGCTAAGGCCGACCGCGTCTTCGGATTCATCGTGCAGGCGCTCCAGGCTTCTACCCTGCAGGGCCAGACTGCTCAACGCGTGGCTACATCTGCCAAGCAACTGGTGGCAGCCACAGGCGCAAACGCCGACCAGATCCTGGCTTCCGTCGACCCAGCCAGCCAGGAGCGCGTGCGAAAGTTCTTCCAGTAGAGCTCGGACTTTAGCTGTATCCGATTCCTCTGCCCAATTTTCTTTTATCTTCCCCGAATCATTCCCCCAATCATGTGAAATCTGACTTGTTACCCGAATCCTGAAACGTTTCGTTAATTCCTGTCTCGTACCTATGAATGCCATGAGCTTCAGACGTCGGAGACACTGCAACACTTTTCATAATCCATTTGTAGTCTTTTCTATGTATATGCACATATTAAATCTACAGCTTCGACACCCGCGCAATCTCGTTCGCAACCACCTCCTCCAACCCCATAACCTGGGGCTCCCCAATTGCCCTATTATCCCGCTCTGCATACAGCGTCCCGCCCTCAGTCCAGATCCGCCGCAGCGTCAAAACAGTAGCAGCCGGCTTCCCAGCCTCCCAAGCTTGCGTCTCCAATTCGCGCAGTCGCGCCAGCGAAGTCCGAGAAACAGACTCCCACCTCTGCCCAGTCTGCCGCTCAAACTCGGCCTGGATCTTATCCGGAGTCGTCGTAAAAGAGTTCACACACAGAGCAGAGTTACGTGTCTCGGCTGTGGCGTGGAGTAGGGTATTCAAAACGAGGGTCCCGACACTAGGAGATAGTTAGTCAATGGTCTCTCAGCCATATAACAACCTTCAAAGGAAGATTAAAAGTCAAGAAAGAAAAGAAAGCCTCACTCCTTCATAGTCGTCAAACTAATCTCCTCATCCCCCTTCTCCCCAAGCAAAACCGCCTTCCGGCCTCGGACATCCCAACCCCCCGCCTCCTCAAGCCCAGGCACAAGGTTCAAATACATCTCCGCAAACGGACCGGTAACAACATACGAGTATGACAGATCATCCCGCGAAACCTCATTCTCGATATACGCGCGCACCTTCAGTTTCTGCTGGTGCGGCTTCTCGTGCGCGGATGCGGGCCCGTATTTGATATCTGTGCCGTACTCCGAGGGCAGGAACCATTTCACGCTTGGGCTGGCGGCTGCGAGGCGGATTAGGGGGATTTGTTGGGCTAAGGTGTTGCGGCCTAGGGCTGAGATTACGGTATCGATTCCTGTGGGTTGTTAGTATCTATGTCATTGGAGGCGGGATTGGGATTGGGATTGATATATTGGGATTGGTATATGGGGGACAATGGGAGGTTCAGACCTTCATACGCGGCCTTGATAGCTTCCTCGTCTTCTACGCTACCGATGATAACCTCGACATTCTGCTGCTTCAGCTTCTCCAGGTGCGCGGCTTTGGTTTCGGCTGTATGCGGGGAAGTGAAGATTGCGACGCGGTTGAATTGGGCGCGTACGGGGAGAATGGCGTCAAGGATGAATGAGCCGATAGTTCCGGTGGCTCCGAAGAGGAGGATGTTCTTGGCGAGAGACATTGTGTAGATGCAAGTGTAGATGTAGATGCAGATGCAGATGTAGACCTCGGGATGTGGCAGATTTCGAGCTTAAGTATACTGTGGGGTGCGGGGTTGCTTATCAATAGGTGAAGACTTTATCCGGATTGCGTCAATCTTGAATACGAAGTGTGATCTATATATATTTGGAGGCAATGAGTGCTTCAGGGGCATATAGCACATAGTGTGATACTTGGCCGCTACCTATATGCACAAGTACCAACATAATATTAGGATCATACATCGATCTTAAGCTGGAGGTGCGATCTTTGGAAGAAGCACTCCAATCTATCTTCTCTACCGAGATTCGAATCAAAGAAGAGATACAAATTATAGAGGAGCAATACCCCGAGGTGAGATCGCTACAAGGAACGGAAAGAAAATTGGGAGAATGGAGAAAACCAAAGAGAACAAGCCGACTGGGCTCGAACACCAACCTAGACATAGTTCAAGCCAAAGAATGGCAACCCCGTCGATCCGATTTCTGCGATATTTGATGATTTATTGGAATTGTGTGGCAAATCGCTCATATATTGCGACAGCTTGAGATTCAGAAATCGCCCTTATCATGCACATAGACGTCAAAGTACACACTTATAACTTGAAATCTATAAATAATATGAGAAACGCAATAAGACCACTCTGACAATTCAATGGACGAAAAAGGAGTAGGTGGTAAAGTTGAACATCAAGGTAAGTTATAAGTTAAAATTAACGTTAAAGTCGAGGGACATCATGTTCGTGTGGGGCCGGAATGCTCAACCTCACCCTTTTGACCTACACTTATGTCTGCATTGCGCCCAGTCCGTCAAAGATCAAATCGAGCCTGTCTGGCCTGTCGTCAACGAAAAAGAAAATGTGACGGAAAGCTGCCATGTAACACCTGTACAGGATATGGCTACGACTGCCACTATGACTCTACCGGTCCAACAAAAGCAGTCCAAGGGCCATCCAGGTCGCAGGCCAAAGCAGCTGTGTCTGAGCCCGACCTCAAGGGTACCTCATCCTTTCCTTCGGGCATTCTTGATTCCACCAAATCACGATACATCGGCAAGTACTCCTCTGTTGCCTTCCCGCTCTGCGTGGGACTAGAGGTGCAAGCGGCGAAGCCTCCGCGACTGCATTCTTTCGGCTATCACACTGGTATCCGAAAGGAGCCTGATTCAATAGCCAGCCTTCAACTTGCCAAACGGATGTCCTGGAATACAGCAAGAACTCTGCTGGAATTTTTCTTTGCCACCATCCATCCCGTATTTGGATTCCTCGACAAGGACCATCTCTACGAGCGGTGCGAAACACACTGGCATGGTCAACCACAAACCCTTGACTTCGAGGCTATTGTCTGTGGTGTGGTCGCACTCGCTTCGTTATTTAATGGATCATTAGATCAAGAAGAAGAAATGTGGTTGATCTTGCATGCGAAAGAAATCCTAGAGGATCCTATTGTTGGCCGGTTTCCATCCATAGACCAAATAGCAGCATGGATCTTACGGACAATCTACATCCGCGCTACCACTCGACCGCATGTAGCTTGGATCTGCAGTTGCACCACCATGCATCTCGTCGAGGCGACAGGGCTGAACCAAGCACCACAGTTCGTCATGTTGACAACCAACAAGGGCGTTCAAGGCTCCACGCCGGAACGGTCGGATATTGTGAAAAGGACCGCACGGGTTGCACATTCTTTGCATGTCATCATAGCATACGAATACGGCCGATCGGTCATGAACTTGGACTTCCCAGCCCAGAATGCTTTAGCCCTGTCAAATCACGCGGGGGATTTCACTCCCCGCTTATGCAGTCTCGTTGAAGCTGTACCACTGACTCCGATGGGTGCGGACTCTGCAGCGACAATACAGGATCTCTCTTCGGCTATTAAGAAACTAGCAGACACACCTGCCGATCACGATTTTCTTGTTCTCGTCCGAGCAGATCTGGTCTTCTCTATCTATCGCCGCCTTCGTCTATTAGAGCCAAGTCTACGACAAAGCCTGCTCGATGAGGTGATCTCCACGGGCATATCTGCTTTACCCGCGGCTCGTGCGCTTGCGAGTCAAAACCAGCCATGGTGGAATGTCATCAGCACCGTATTTCAATTCGTCTGCGTTCTTCTGGCCATTGATACCCATGCCAGTATCGCAAATTTATCCAACGCCATGGATACCTTAGGAATTATTGTGGACCATCTGAAAACTCATCTGGCCACTGAAGCTCTAGTTACTGCCCGAAACCTTGTGCGAGCTTCGCTAGATCGAAGGCGCAAGGGTGTTGAAATCTTGGAGGGCATTGTTGGACCATCCGCTTCAGATGATGCAGTGGAAGGTCCGGATTCTCACCTGCCACAAGATCTGGACTTTTCAACTTCATTCTCATATGATCAACATCCCGTTGATCTTGATTTCATGTTAAATATGGACTTTCTTACTTGATTCACATTATCTATAGGGCTGTATGAAATAGACTGCCCTTTATGATAAATGGACCCTCGCTCTACTCTCTAACGGTATTAGGGAAGGCGTTATATTAATTTACTAATGTCCACCGTCTACTTTGTGCCTTGTTTGAAATTGAAGTGAATCTGCACGCTCTAGGCATGTAGGCTCACTTTGATTCCAGTAAGGCACAAAGTATACGTACCGTGGATATTGAAAGTAACAGCAGTTTATTTAACATCGCTCTATCTATATTGGGATGAATCTCTCGACACTAGGCTACAACAGGGGACATATATCTGTACACTCTCTGTTTTCGCCTCTTTTTTGCCCATTCCGAGTGCCTCGGGTTGATCGTCTAGATCATATAAAGGTGGGTGCGTGAAAGGAATTATGGCCTCTGTTTTATTTCCAATATCTCATTCCATTTCAATGACAACCTGCTCCCCAGCCCTTCCATAACCCTCATCAACACAATTCTCAATCCTCACTGTTCTAAAAGACCCTTCATCCTGCGCACATAACACTCCCTGCTCAATCCACCGCTCAAGAGACCGCAACAACCCCGCCGCATCCCCAATAGTCGGACTAACAGAATTACACCCAACAAGCGTAATCTCCTTTCGATACGCCTGGAAGATATCAAACGACACCTTTTTACTAACATCACCCCGGGGCGCCGCAATCCAAGCATAACGCCCCTTCCGCGCCAACGACTCAACAGCAGCATCCATCAACGCAACATCCCCAACAGTATCAACAACAACGTCAACACCCTCCCCACCAGTCAATTCCACAAGTCGCAAAGTAAGCTCTGCAGCCGGGTTCTCCCCCGACAAAAGGATATCAGGGTTGGTAGCCTGCGCCCTCCGAGCAGCAGTCAATACCCGCCTACACCCCATAGCCCGTGCAATTTGCACAGCAGTCGACCCCACCGCGCCCGTGGCACCAAGGACAAGAACTATATCATTGGGTTTAACCTGCGCTCTTTGCAGGCAGATCAGGGCAGTGGTAAACGGTACGCCGACTGTCGCGGCTTGCAGTGCGGATAGAGAGGATGGTTTCTCGACCAAGGCTTCGTGTGGTATGAGGCAATATTGCGCGTGGGAACCATCACTTGTAAAGCCGAGACTTGATCCACTAGTGCCGTATACTTGCTTTCCGATCCAGGATTTGGATGTGTTGGTTGTGTCGGTTTCGGATATCTCTACCACCGTGCCGGAGAAATCTCGGCCTGGGATACGTGGGAGGGTCGTTGATGGGAAGAGGCCTTGGGCGTTCAGGCGGTCGGAGGGATGGATACATGCATAGTTTATTTTGACTAATGCGTGACCCGGTTTGAGGGGTGGGATTGGGAGTGTTTGCAGTGATAGTGTTGGGGATGAGGTTGTTGAGCGGGTTATTTGGAGGGCTTTCATTGTTTTGGACATTTTGGACGGAGATTGAAGAGGCCGAAGAAAGATCAATTGATACAGTGAGTGGTGTTATTATCCTTTATATTCTCCGAAAGCGAGGCAATCGTCTATGTTCTTGATCTATAACTACGTGATGGCGATGCGGTATCGGCCCGCGGGCCGCGCGGGCCCTGCGGCAGGAAAAGTATACGTGATTGCCATCGATTGTTTCGGCCGGTCAATTAAGGTTGTTTAAGACGAATATTTAGTGAATCATGGTCCCATGCTGCTAGGCTTTGTTTCTCCAAAAAAACCATCAAAATTCGCGTTAGAGAGTCGAGAGTTTGTTGGGCATAATTTTCGACACCATCAGCATCGATACCAGCGTATCGTTTCAACATTATTCTCGCTCTTGTAGGCTCTATTCCCACTTCTTTTGCTACTTATCTTTTGCTCGTTTTCTATTCCCAAAAGCAGGAGGATTGTTGCTGGCAGTATCATCACTGGTAAGCAAAATCGCATTGAACGAAATATCGTCCAACTCTCTAATCTGACTTAGTGACACATAGCAAGAACCGAATGCCGGCCATGTCTCAGTTAGAACTCAAGGATAATGAGGCTCCTCCCTCGCCAGCATCCGACCCAGAACCCCAAACCAAACCATCAACACCCACAAAACACCAATCACCGGTCAAAGAAGCAGCCTTCATAGCAGTCGTCTGCGCCGCCCAATTAATGACCCAAGCTGGCCTCTCCCTATCCATAGCTCCGCTCCATTACATAGGCAAAACCTTCAACACACCACCTCGAGATCTGACCTGGTCCTCGGCAGCCTACAGCCTAACAGTTGGAACATTCATCCTCGTCTCCGGCAGACTGGGCGACACATACGGCCACAGACTCCTCTTCATCATTGGTTTTACCTGGTTTGGGATATGGTCCCTTCTTGGCGGTTTTGCCGTATGGTCGAATCAGATCTTCTTCGATTGTTGTCGAGCCTTCCAGGGGATTGGTCCTGCGCTGCTTTTGCCCAATGCCGTTGCTATCTTTGGGAGGACTTATGCGCCGGGCTTGAAGAAGGATATGGTTTTTTGTCTTTTTGGTGCTACTGCTCCTGGTGGATTTACGCTCGGTGCTACGTTTTGTTCGTTGCTTGCTGAGCGTGTTTGGTGGCCGTGGGGGTATTGGATTATGGGTATTGCTTGTTTTTGTTTTGCAGTTTTGGGGTTTGTGCTTATTCCTCGTGATGAGATTGAAGAGACAGAGAAGACTGAGGGCTCAACCTTTGCTCGGCTGGACGGGCTTGGTGCTATCACTGGTGTGAGCGGTCTTGTGCTGATCAACTTTGCGTGGAATCAGGCTGCAGTGGTTGGGTGGAGAGTACCATACACCTATGCTCTATTAATTGTCGGGATATTATTTCTTGTGGTGTTTACGATCGTCGAGCGAAGAGCTGCCTACCCACTTCTCCCGAGTTCAGTATTCAAGGGCGAAGTTGGCTGGGTTCTCGGCTGCATGGCGGCGGGATGGTCGAGTTTCGGGATTTTGGTCTTTTACTACTACAACTTCCTTGAAACCATCGAGCACAACAGTGGACTTTTGGTTACTGCAAAATGGGCAGGAGCCTCTGCTTCTGGTGCAACCGCCGCTGTTATAACTGGTCTTCTTTTGAGCCGGGTACCACCGAGTTTCATCATGGTTGCAGCAATGCTGGCATTCACGATCGGCTTGTCCCTTTTGGCCACTATACCGCCTGGTCAGACCTATTGGGCCAATGCATTTTTGATCATGCTAATCACTCCTTGGGGAATGTAAGTCGACAACATCATCGCAGCGAATGTTTCACAGCTAACGCATAATAGGGACATGTCTTTCCCTTCTGGGACATTGATTCTCAGCAATTCTATGCCGCGAGAGCATCAAGGAGTGGCCGGCTCACTGGTAAATACGGTTGTGAATTATTCCATAGCTCTCGGTCTCGGATATGCAGGCACAGTCGAGAGATATGTGGACCCTGATGGCTCAGATATGCTCAAGGGATATCGGGGTGCTTCTTATATCGGGGTGGGTTTAGCAGGACTTGGCTCTATTATTGCGATTTTATTCATGATCGTAACTTGGCCCAAGTCCAGAAAAGCTGTCGAGTGAGAGAGGCCATCACGTCTAGTGATTGGTTCTAATGTATGGAAAGAAAAAACTCATGCGATTCTTGCCTACTTCCCTCTAAACAACCATCTCCAAAATCTCCAACACCTGAGACTTTTCCTTCAAAGGCACCGGGTTTGTCTTGCACCACCGGTCGTGCAGACTGTTTGCCGCCAATCCATCCAATTGGTCGCGACCAACTCGGACATCACCCAGAGTCCGAGGCATTCCCAGCTCACGAATGATAGCATCTAATATATCACCTAGATCAGATGCATTGACATCAAGTGACCGTGCACGTAGCACCTGCGACACGACGGGATCTTTAATCAAGAACTGGCGCACTTTGTCCTGTTGATCCCGGTTCGCATTGTACTTGGCATTGTATTTGCACACGGCCGGCAGAAGAATACAGCTAGTCTCGCCATGACCGACACCAAGTGGGCCGAGCTAAATTCAATAGAATCATTATCATATAAATCCAAAGAGAGTTAAGGATAAGTAACATACCTGATGTCCAATGCCATGACTAGCACCCAACTCAATCGACCCGCTCGTACAAGCTGCCATAGCTTCAACTGACCCAAGCTGACATTGTAAATACGCCTCACGATCTGCATGATCCTTTTTGCAGCGTAGTAAGCCAGGAACTAACAAGCTCAATGCCCGCTGGGCCAGCTCGTCCGATGACGTCGTTGTACCCACCACAGCGCACAACGTCTCTATGCAGTGGTCAACAGCCCGCACGCCTGTACTGAGCCAAATGGAATCCGGAGTGGTTTGGGCCAGTTCTGGGTCGAGGATTACCAGCTCGGGTCCACGAATTGGTGGCTGGAAGCTGTATTTACGCTTTGAGCTGTCCTCCGTGCCACCTGCGAAGTTGGAGTACTCGCCGGCAGAGAGGGATGTTGGCACTGAGATGATAGGCACGGTTGGTGTCTTGATATCCTTTCGCTTGTTTGGACCTTCTGCGAGAGTTCCCAGTTCTTCTGGAGTGCGGATTTCATTTGCGAGGGCCTGGGGAGATGTTAACATGTTTTTTGACCTTCGACAAAGTGTTCACACAGAAGAAGAGAAAGATAGAGACTCACTAGTGCAATTATCTTCGCACCATCGGTCAAACTGCCCGCTCCAATCGTCAAGATGAGATCTGCCTGGGCGGCTCTAGCCTCCGCAGTAATCTCTAGCACCTCGGACCATAGTGTATGGCTCTTCATGCCAATTCGACGACCAACTACCTTGTCTGGGCCAAGAGTAGCAGTCAATCGTCCCAATGTTTCGGTGGTATGTGCCAAGGTCCTAGAGCAGATTACATACACGCGAGAGGCATTGAAAATGTCCTCGGTGTGGCGAGCTACAGCTGTAGGGAAAGAGACGCCGTGAGCTATTATTGGGCGTTCACGGCCCTCAAACGCTGGTCGGACAGTTTCCTGAGACATGTTGATGAACTGTTGAAAG